TGGCGAGAAAATTCCTCAAACCCGGGTGCTCGCAACGCAATCTTGGCGAAGGAATGTGCACCAGCCTGTCTGGCCAAGTTCACGTCATCGCGTAAGTGTGCAGGAAGGGTCTGAGATCAGTGGCGCAGAAATGGTCAGAAGGCGTGTCAGAGGGAGTGGGCAATCTCGCATTGGTTGCTCCACCATTTGCATCGCGGTCATGCACCCATGCTCGCAATAGCGTACCCTGCCTCAACCCTTGTCCCTTGCTTATCGCTTGTGCGGGATCCAGCATACGAAACAGGTTACAATACATTAGTGCCAAGCAGAATTCTCTAGCTGTGTCTCAGTGGTTTAGCAAACACCAGCGGATTGCCAGCACGCAGCTGTTGTTCAATGTTGGGCATCAGTATTGAAACTAGTCGATCTGTGTGTACACGCTCGCACGCTCATTTCTACCCACCAGCCTACAGGTTTGTCCCATTGTTCTTCATATCCCAGATGCAAATGCAGATAATGAATGAATAAATGAGTGAGTGAGTGACTGACTCACTGAATGAATGAATGGACATACTTGCCAACGTGAAAAATTGACACACTGGTCATGTCACGTGTCTCCGCCGAGCTCAGACAGTGTCCCTCTGCCAACGGTCTGCAATGACCTCCCAATGCTTGGCACAAATCCCACCCCAACAGCACCAAGGCAGGAAAGGAAAAACAGCAGAAGGGACGATCCATCTCCAAGATGGGCACAATTCTCATCAATCTGGGAATTGCACATTGGGGCTTGATCTCTATGCCACATTGGGCCCCCATTGCCATAGTGCCGATAGGTGCCTTTCAGTCCGAACCGAAGCCTGGATGATCCACTAGCCTGGTAGCCAGCAGCACCCTGCCGAACAAACACTCCAGCAACATCGACCGAAACTTCATCAAACCAATATACAACGCAATTGAAGGGAGGAAGTTGCTTGGCTCAATCCAGTCTTTGCCCACGATGCTCTCCCAAACGTCCTCAGTTTTTGCGAACGTCTGTATCTGCAGCTGATCTGACCCTGAGACATCATCTGCAAACGTCATAGTTGCAGTCATGCTGACCCTGGAAGCCTGTGTGAGAGTGTGGAATTGGCTCCCCTCAGTTGTGGTGCTTTCAACACCGAATGCAGGCCATGCATCCACCCAGTCAAACGATGTTATGTGCCTGAAGGGTGACATTATTCCCTGGCACTCGTTGTTGCAGAACTCTGGATCAATGGCAATCTTTCCATCTTGGGCAACCAACCCCATCTCTCCTTGATTCGCTATCGCGCCGAACTGGATCCAGGGCTCCAGCAGGATCCGACAGATGAACGGTGCAATGCTGCGCACGATGCTGTCCTCTGTGCCTGGTTCAGCTCTTATCTCCACTTTTATTCCGGTCCTTCTCACCCACGTAGCACCCCCTTGGCATGTGTGGAACCCCGCCATGGTGGCCCTAGCAAATACCTGCAAAACATTCAGCGGAAACCATTTGAACGCTGCACGAGCTACACCTTTCCCTGTGCCGGACGCTGTTGACAGCAGTGAACAGAGTGCAAGGAAATTAGTACCTCGGTATTATCCAGACGAAAAATGCAGGAAAGCAGAACGCAACTACGTAGAGAACCGAGCAGAGACCATTGCGTACCTGAGGGACCCCATGATATAGTTTCTTTTCTCCAGCTCCTTCAGGAGACAACAAATAGCTCATGACGATGAAATGCGACCGCTTCCACACGCTGTCAGCGAAGCTGCGACAGCAAAACTGGCGAGTTGCCGTGCCGTTCGTTCTGAGTGTTGCCGCTCCCGTGACCACTTGCTCCTTCACCCATGCCGCCATCATGTCGATCGCGCCCTCGCCCAAATTGAGCTCCAAATGAGACACAAGCCCCGAAATGTAGGTCAGATAGAATTCTGACTTTGTCAATTCAGGGAAATTGCTGACACAAAGCTCATGCCCCAGTCTCCTGATGCACGGAACCATTTGCTTTTCATATCTTGTCATAATTCCGTCGATTGCGCAATCGGTCACATTGGTGCAATTTCTAATCATGCAGCTTGCTTTCCTCCTGTACGACTCTCTGAGGGGTCTCAATATGCCCCTCACTTTGTAGTATTTGGCCCATTGCAGCAAGGCAACAATCAAGATGACGTTGATGGCTTCCCAAACCAAGACTTCTGCCCCCACGCCAGAGAGATTTGTTGCCTCTTGCAGCGTCAACATGAAAGTTAGACAAATCCAGGCGTCGGAGTACGCCGAGGTTCGCCCTTGGAGGTCAAAAATATCTTGGGGAGATGCTTCCACTGAAGACGCGAGAACGAAAACTACCCTCACCAAAACAAAGACCTGAGAGGTCAGCACTGTCTGCCGCAAGTACCACACTATTGCACTGGCTTCCGAAGGAAAACCTGCGGCAGCAAGAATGAAAACAAACGACACCCAAAGCATAAATAACGTCCAAATTGGGCGAACTGCATGTGTGCATCTCTTGACTGCAGCGGCCTGCAGAACAGAATGCAGAACTCAGTTTGGCAAACGATATGGCTCGGTCGTTCTCAGAACCCTCATGGTGCAAGCACCATAACGACACAGAAGCACAGTCAGGATACAAGGGTGGAAGTTCAGAACATCTCAATAGTCCTACATTACACAGTCACCCCTGTGTGCACCCTGCGCTTGTGTGTTCTCTGGTTTGCTGAGACACTTCCACGATTCGGAAATGTTGCACTTGCCTTTGCACTGCTGAATGCAGAGCGCGCCTGGTGTGGGATTGTGACACGTGCTTGCAGGGGTGATGGGATCAATTCAGCTGAATTAGAACAAGGCACGAAGAGTAAGAAACCAATAGGATATGCACCGACTGTGGTCGCGGTGGACATGATAGACTGGATTTGGGAATGACAGGCAATATTGAACTGTGTTGGAGCTTATACATTTGACACTGTCTTGTAATGAACACGCATTGTTTGTGAGCTCAAACCCCTGCCCGTGTCAAGCAGTGTAGGGTTCTCTTAATGTCTGGAGGGGACTGCAGCCTGCGATTGTATTAGGGAGGGTGCTGCCCATCAGCAAGCCATCAGCAGTCATGTTGACGCCATTACTCAAGTACAGGGTGTCCACATTCTCCATTCTGAATACAGATTCTGCACGGAATCTGGAAAATCGCCACAAAAGGATCAAATACTCGGCCGACGTTAGTTAAAAGGGTGTCGGCGCGTCGGCTTTTCATTGTCAGTCCTTCCCCTGGCGTCAGCATGTCGGTGCTGACATTTCCACGTCAGCCCCCGTGTCCGCGGCGCTATCCACATGCCGACGTGGCGATTGCCACGTGTATACCAGGCCCTGCCAGGCCATCCCTGCCTGAATCCGTCAGCACCCATCGGCCCCTTTGGACGCCAGCGCCCGACGGCGTGACGACGGCCGTGGGTGCCGATTCACCGAACCCCTTTTGCCCACGTCAGAAAAGTTGGGACCCTTCTCAATTGCCTACGTCTTGTGCAACATTCGAACTGAAAACTGTCTTTACGGAAAACATGGAGCACAAATGTCATTTATCTCGATGGAACACAGCACAGAAGTAGAGTACACAAGTGCACACCCCAGTGGTTCAGTTTGATTCGAGCAATAAATGCAAACTCCTGTTCAGTGCTCAAACACAGCTCGCAATGGGGCTGCACACATTGCCTGTGATTCAAGCTTCTCCAAAACAACAAAGACCAATGACCAAACTCTTGAGCTCAACCTCCACTGCTGTCTGGCATTATCCCTTGCCCAACGTTTCGAGATTGCACAACAGAATTATCTATGGCATTTATTTTCAGTTACCTACAAAATGCCCAATTCTAGCTGCTGCGTTTCTTGAAACTCCCCAATTTCGTCTCCAGTTGTACAATAGGAGCTCACATCACTCAGTGAAAAGCTGCCACTGCCACAGGACAACTATATTGAAGTATCGTTAAGCATTGATCTATACAAGCATTTGGCCAGCTGTTGATAGCCCTAGCTGCCAGCAGCACACACCTGACATTGCTCTTTGTTGCTGTGCTCATCGGCTTTGAGACTGCCCACAACAATTTGGGCATCTGAAGGCATCATGCAAGCCTGCATGATATGGATGTCTGCCAAAAGTAGCAACAATTCAGGTCCATGCCTCCTTCAAATAATTGCTTTACTTGCAGAGCACTGCAAATCGACGTACATGCAGCAAATTGGACAAAACGAAGCTCCAACAGCACACACACTGTTCTTATTGTGAATCCTTCATGAAAAAGAAAATTCTTGTTTCGGCAACCAGTGAGCAGTACAGGGGATAAACGTGTTCCAGAAGGACAAAACAATACAGTACAGCTTGGCGGGCAAGCAGGTGGCATGGTGGAGCACAGCAAAATGCACAGTCATGTGCATTTTCTCCTCCACGGACAGCAAATACCTGTTAATTGTTGTTCATAATCATGGCGCATGCAATGGAAACACAAAAGAATTACCATGGCAAAAGCCTTCTAATTCCATCTGTGCCAACTTCACAGTATCGATTGATGAAGAAGGTCCTTCCTTTGTTCCAAGCAGCGCACTGTTGTGCATCCTGACTAGTGCTGTTGCACTGCACAGTCGCTTTTTTGCCACAGCCAGAGGTTCCAGAAGTGATTTGGGGCCAACTTTGCTTGACATGGACTCAAGGTGCTGCCTGCTGAGCAGCACATCTCGCAACATTTTCTTCACTACTCCATCCCTTTCGCCAATCCTGGCAAGCTCTGCTCGCAAATTGTGTAGCAGAGCTTTCATGTCCATGACTACTGCTGAGATACAAAGCGCTCCTTTGTGCAGTGTGCTTTGATCGACCTGCAACATCACGTACAAAGAAGTGCTGAGCTTCAGCCATTGCCATCATTCAGAAAATGCCCTACAAAGAGACAGTATCTTCAGAGACGGATATGCACACACTGATGTGGCATTCTAGGCTCATTTCAACCCTGGAAGCAAACTGCAGTCACCACAGTCCAAACAAGCCCTGAGCATAGAAAATCAATTCTCACCCCTGCTTGTGAGTCGTAGTTTCGTAGTTACGCATAAGAAGCGAAATATTTGGCCACCATGTCCACTTTCATGAACTCACTACTTGCTCGCAAGGAATTGCTGATCCAGAGTAATACTCCCCCCACCCCCCCCACCCCCCCTTTTCATCCCAGCCCTAACCCCACACCTACCCCACCCACCAACCTGTGCCCAACATAGTACAGCTCCAACATCGAAGTTCAGTATTTGTTGGGATAGGCTTAGAGAGCAACGCAACTCCAGGCACATGTCAGAATATAATATCTCCATAATTTTTACGTCCACTGCCAAGGCGCACCTTCCCCTCCTTTGGCACTACAAGTTCTTCTGTTCCGGCAGTGAGCACCTGAGCCAATGGCAAAAACATCCTGTTACTGCATGAATACTACAACAGCATATTACTTTCCCACACTGCATTCACTCACAAAATTGCATCTCGAGCTCAAAAACCAACTATGGCAAGTTTCTGGAAGGGCCAACCAACACACAGTGGAGTGTTGCACATCAATGACAACAGTGCACTGATTTCAAAATGTTTCAGGTTGACTTGGTTCTGTCACTGTCATGGCGGACTGCATCCAGCTCTAATCTGCAATTTGCAACTGGCGACAGCCACCAGCAATGCACAGTGTATATTGCCGCTTGAAAGGTTGCGGCATATACCTTCTGACGAATCTTCTTCAAACGCCTCACAACTTCCGTCATTGGAGGCCTCAACTCATGCTGCGGAATGACACAGGCCTTTGCCAGGTCACGCAGTTCTTCTGGGCAGTCCCTCCCAACAAAGCAAGGGTCCCTTCCTTGCAGCTTCCACATCAACAGCATTGGCTCTGATTGCACACCGCGATATGCATCACTTTCTGCTGCCAGCTCATAGAGGAGGACGCCAAAGCTGAAAACGTCAGAAGCAAAACTGTGAGGCTGCCCTTTCTGAACTTCTGGCGCCATATACTGGACAGTGCCGACCTTGTTTCTCATTGATTTGGATCTAAGCTGCTCCTTGGCCATCGCCAAACCAAAATCGCCAATTTTGATAATGTGGCCATGAGGTGCTGAGGAGTCCCTAAACACAAGGAAATTCCCTGGCTTCACATCTCTGTGGACAATCCCAGAGTCATGTAGATGACCTAACCCCAATGCAGCACTTGCCAGTAGGCAAACCTTGAATGCCCATGTCAGGGCAGATCCCTGGGTCCAGCAGAACTTCTGCAGGTCGTGTTCTGCCAGTTCCATGACGATGGCATTTTGAGTTCTTGAGAATATGGCACCCCAGCAGATGACCACATTGGGGAAATGCATCTTTGTATGCATCTCCACTTCATTCAGGAGCTCAACTCGGGCCTCGATGTTCAAGTTGGGTGGGAAACATTTCACAGCAACAGCTGAATCCCTCCATTTTCCTTTGAACACTTGCCCATATGCCCCCTCTCCGACGGCTTCTTTGATCTGGATGTCCTCTGCCCTGATTCCTATGTTTAGGAAGTCCATCCTTTGCATGTTTTCTTGGATGCACACAGCCAGTTCATGCTGTGTTTCCTCATCCAGGTCGACATCAAGCGTGCCTGCCAAGATGCAAGTCAAATAGCAGACGAGGTGCCTCCTGTCCTTCTCAACACAATTGGCGTCAATAACTGTCTCCACATCAGGGCCGCCCACAACTCGGATAGTGCCCTCACAGATGGCAGCAAGGGTCCTGCAGATCTCTTCCACTTGGCTGTGCACAAAATCCACCTTGTAGAATCTTCTGTAGTTGAAGGATTCAGCATGCCTCTCTATCAGAAGTACAGCCTCTGCTACCACCGTCGCTAGAATGTTCATTTCTCCGTCCATCATATGGGCTGGCAGACGGTGATGCAGCTGTGCAGTTGTCTCCAACTGCTTGTGCATGAATTGCAGCATGCCGGCATTGTACCTCACGTGGGGCAAATACTTTGTGGCAGCCCTGTTGATGGCAGCAACAATGTCATCCATTCCTGGTGTGGCCATAGGCTCGACCTGCATACATTGCAGAAAGTATCAGCATCCAGCTGGACAACACTTGTCGCGGTGCGATACAACTCGCCTTGGATAGCAAGAGCAACCAGCGCACCGAAGTGATCATCTCCATCGCACGCTGGGGGACGGGGATCGACAGCCATGGGATGCGAAACAAACACACTGATTCTGCCGTTAGGCTCGCCCAAGTTCTCCCCTCTTTTCGAATCGAGGGGCTGCGAGATTTGAAGGCGGCCCGCGCGGGCACCCCCTTATGACTGCCTTCTGTGGCGAGCCCCTGGCCCCAATGCCTTCATCCCGTCCCCAGCCCATGCAGGTCAGGCTGAAAATCCTCACCCTCTCGAGCGCCGACTCGCATGTCAGATCGCACACAGTCAGGACCCTATGCGATTGTAGTCGTCTGCGATTCTGTCGGCGCCCGCCGATTTCAGCATATGGCGTTTGGCAGCGTGACGATTGAATTGAGGTGGGGCGACATCGGAATAAGGTGCACCAACAAGAAGATGGAGGAAAACCAATACCGTTGGTGCAAAACATGACGCAGTGCCAAATTTATTCTCTATGCTCAAATTTAGCCTTGAGACACCGCTGACCCCCCCAGGTGCATTTGGAGCAACTCGCTGCCATGAAGGCGCCATTACAGACATGCACGAAAGTGCAACCCCACCTCTGCAACCGCAACGTTCGCAATCGCGAAAAAAGGACCACAGTTCCGGCGGCACTTGGGGCTCTCGAACAAACACACGCGCACGGTGGATTCGCACGCACGTGCCCGGGGCCGTTACCCGGCATCGGCCAGTTTGGTGCACGGGAATTGGCTTCATCATATGGCAAATGCAACCAAACAAGAACGAGGATTACCACCCCAGCTCCAATGCACATGCGATCCGGGCACCGGACAGCGCACACAGCACCGCTCCCGGCAGGGTCACCTTCAGCCGCGCATTGCGCTGCCAGGAGCGAACGCGAGGTGCGCTCGCGCCTTTTGTGACTCTGCATCGTTCAGGATAGGCGCCGCGCATCGGTGGAGGCAGCCCACCCAACAACGGCAGAAAGGCACCTTCGAATGAGTACCTCCGGTTCGCTGCGGGCGGTCTCGGCTCGAGCGCGGGGTACAAAAAATTCCGCATCTGCGCTGCGCTCGATCGCAACAACAATGGCAACAGTGACGCAGGGAACGATGTCCTGCTCGCCAGTCGCCGCTGCGCACGCTCGGGAAGGTCCCCACACAGGGAAGTGCCAACCTACTGCGCGTGAAGTGACAGCATCAGGCAGCGATGGAGAAGCCACCAGTTCATGTTCAGACGAAGGGACACGTCAATCAACTCTCCACCGCCGCCAGTGACTTCGCAGCCACCTGCGCTGCGATTCCGAGGATCCCTCAAGATAGGTGGCCCCACCTGAGTCCCGACAAAGGCTTCTTCCGGGGCTTCCGAATGGTGCCGTTGGCCGAGGTTGCCTCGTGGCGGGCCTCCACCTTCCGACCCCATCTTCCTCCCAAAAGCAGATCCCTCCGGCGTCCACATTCATCGCCTGTGACGCCGCTGTGGAAGGATGAAAGCAGTTCCCGCCCCAGAGGGCATCTTCAGGTCAGCTCTCCTGCCCGGGTGGGCCCGCACGTCGGACAGGCGGCGTCAATCGACAGGGCCACACGCCGTTTCGACAGGTCGGAAGTCCCTCCTGGCAGCTTGGAACGGTTCACGATGCGCAGATCACCCCGACGAAGCGAAAGCAAGGTTCACCGAACCGCCCAGCAGGCCAGTCGCCTGCGACTGCGGGATTGACGACCTCGGTTGTTGAGGTTCACCACCACAGCTCCAGTTAAATGGAATTACGAGGCCAGCACCACCTGCCCACCACTTGCAGCTCACGTGGATCCCATCACTATGGGTGTCTCCTCATTGGCCCAAAGCGAAGGATATGGACAAGAGTCGGGGCAGAGGCAGTCCGACGAGGGCATCCGCAGAGGAGGGCGCGCCCTGTACCTCTTGCGGCCGCACCCACGTGACGGTGCTCGGTTGGGGTACGTGACGCCCTTGGAGTGCAAATTTTGCACTGCACAAAGGGCGCTGTCGTAGCACACGCTGCCAGCAGTACTTTAAAGGTATCAACGAACCAGCGACGCTGAATAGATGCAGCGATCTTAGCCAGTTTGCCACCAGGAGTCGCTAAATCCAGGTCCTAAATCGCAATCCTCACTGTGCCAACTCAAGCGTAGATGATCGGTGTGGCCGTATTTTCAACAACACGTACATCTTCTGCCTCAAATTAAGTGAAACAGTTTGCTTGGGAGGCCATATTTGTACCATGTACTTGCTATTTTCCCTTAAAACTTGGTCAGAGGACTAACCAGGAATTTATTATATTTTATCAAGTTTTTGTACAAAATGGATAGGTATTGGTCAAATGATTGAACTTTGAACCCGCAGGATTTTCCGAAACCCCAATTTTCTCAGGCTGGCGGCCCAGCCCCCCTAATGGCCCTTCGACCTGGTCGCTTGCGACTGTCGTAGCTCAGCGCCGAATGAATATTTGCAGCCGCCACTGTGGCTGCAGGTTGAAGGCACTCCTCTCGATGCGCAGATGCCACGGAACCGAGTCCTGTACCGCTCGATCGTCGATCGCGACCGTGGATTCGACAGCCCATCGAGCGTTCCAGATTTGAAGCCGAAAAATCGGCGAACTTCACAACATGGCGGTTTCGAGAGGCGCTGCCGCCATGGGCCACCACCAACAGTTTGGAGAGATGCAATTGCCAATTCGCTGCACAGCAGCAAGAAGGTCGCTGGAAGCCGCTGTGCATGGCACAAGCCACAAGGAGCACTTCGAATGTAGTTCAAGCCGCTTTGAAAGACGCTGCTGTGAGAGATTTGGACGTCGTCCTTGCGGAACACAACAGCACCACTGTGCACCACTTGGAGTCTCCGATGGAGCATCCACACCCTCCACCAGTCGTGTTTGGTGGGATTGACGCCCTTTTTTGGGTATGTGTTCCTTGCCCCAAACACGCCATTAATTGGAGATCGGCAACGAACGGAGACCGTTCGGCGCACACAGCTGTTCCAAGGCTAGGTTTTAGAAACCAGGAGAACTGTTGGCGACGGGAGATCACAGATATGTCCTTGCGTCGCCGTGGACGGTGGTGGGGATTTCCGCAAATCCGCGATGGCGAGATAGGCTGCCATGAGCCATCTCTGCCGGTTGTCTTTCTCGATGGATGCCGATGGTTGCGCTAGACCCCGAGTGAGGCTGGCCGCTCTATCCTTCCAGTAACCTGAGTCCAAAAAGAGGGGCTGCACTTGTGTGTTGGGCCATCCCGGACACAGGAACCTATTTTTTTTGGTGGGCGCGGAATGCCCTGGGAGGGACCAGATTCTGGATTGGAGTAGCGCAGGTTCGACTGCCGAATGCAGTGTACTTAATCTTCCCTCTTTTGGCAACAACCGGTGCATGTATAGCAGGTGCTGCGGTTGCATTTTCAAGGAAACAAACGACTACTCGCTGCAAACTCAGCCTCCCAACAAATTGTTTAATTTAATTTGAGACAGAGGAAATATGGCGTTGCTGTGATGACCAAAACTGCTTTAAAAAAATCGCTAGGAAAAAAGGGCTAAATAATACTTTTGCGAACACACATAAAACACATTTCGTCAAAGTTCTGCATGCTAAGAATACAAAAAGTAACACAAACCCGTAAACTTTGTACACGTTTGAACACGTGTTATTTGGCCCTTTTTTTCCTAGTGATTTGCAACCTGTCTTTTGGTGCCTTCCTATCCGTCGGTCCGTCGTATTGTATTTCAGGGAGAACAGTACTTTGAGTTTGACACACTTAGCATCCAACGGGCGCTAAGCACAGTCGCTCCCCTTTCCCCCTTTACATCAGTCCTTAGTTGATGTTCGGCAGTACATAAGGACAGTACATAGCACGAGCCCGCAATGCTACGAAAGTTTTGGCGTCGGTTGGCTGGCTTGTCACAGCACGACTCCGCCCAGTGCACCCAACTTGAAAACTGGCTCCGGGCCTTGGCCGTTCGCTGGGGGGTGACTCCTCCGAACGCCCTGCCTACCGCACAGTAAGCAGGGCCTTCGGAACTAGTTCGGAAGAGGAGAGTCAGTTGGCGCTTCACAAAAAGTGCTGCTCAAGAGGGGAGATCCATTCGATGAGATATTTCTTCGTTTCCCAATGGACAGCCTGAGGTGCCTGCGAGCACGCTCGGGGCTACGCCAGTCGCCCAGTGTTGGGCGACTGCAGTCGGCCAGCTGGCCAGCACTGTTTCATAAGGGACTCAGCAGATTCCACTTGGCACAATACGATGATGTCCTGCGTTTGCTGCACTTGCTCCTGCTTGACACAACAAAAAGCGCGCACCTGCCATAGTCGGACGTACGTTTGTGCCTGATTGCATTGGTCGCACCTGCAACACGATGCCCGGGCGCATTCGGGGCAGTCTTGGCACATCGTGCTTGTTCCTGTTGGGACTTCCCGGGAAGGCTGTTGCTTCAAACTCTGTCAGCCGCGTCGGTCTTTCCAAGAGCAAACAAACCCAGTGCAAAAGTGTTGATGGTTTGCAGCGTGTTGGCGTTACAACGGAAATGGCCATTGTTAAGCCAGGGCAGCATGCACCTGCCAAGGTGCGCCTTACCCCATGTGTGTGTGGCATTCAGCAGTTCAAGCAATGCGTTTACAACCACATGTGCAAGGTCCTGGCAACCGGCCCATTCCTACCTAACCAATTTCACACAGATTTTCGAGACCTGGTCGCGATTTCAACCCATCCATCCACCAAGCCTTCTGGCACATCCCACAAGATGGCGCCCTCCATTTCCCTGCAATTTCGCCAAAAATGCAGGGAATCGAGATACCCAGTTGCAATCCCCACCCAGCCAAATGATTAAATTCTAGGGGCTGGACAGTTTCCTTCCCCAACATTCCCCGTGTTCCCAGCGGCGTAGTAATTCTCGAAAATCAACAGCAAATTACACTCTGGCCAGGACCAAAGTTCCCAAACACGCCATCCACGGACAGAACCCCTAACTCCCCTGCCCATCAAAAACCCACCCAGCTCTCCTTAAAAATATTCCTGCATCGGCTTACTCAACATGGGAAAGAGTTGTAAAACCCAGTGCACAGGAAGCGGGGTCCATTGCGTAACTCAGTGCCATCCACATCAAGCCGAATCCTGGGCAGCCCCACAACCAAGTCTTTCAGTGTTGGCATGTGGCCAGCAGTGGCATGAATGCTGGCATATGCCATCAACACTGACTTACCCTCCATTTGCAGTCAATCAGCATCTCCCAACCAAGGGGATCTGCCAGCTCCATCACTCATTTCCTTCCATTTCCTCGTTGCCTTTCCCAGTGTCTCATCTTCTATTCGCCACCTCACGACTGATTGCGCAGCGCTTTGCCGATTTCCACAAACACAATCAAACAGGAGCCAAGTTCACCAAACTCCCCACAAATGACAACATCACGGGGCCTGACAAATTTCTATCCCTTCGCCTTCCAAACAGCCTCACTCGCTCTCCGTTTTTGCATCGTCGTCACCATTGGCCACGTATCCAAGCTGGGGCGCCCTTTGGACATATGCCTGATCCTGAGCATCAATGAACAAAGACAAGAGACATGTCAGTATCCATATCTTATATTTGCAACAAGTGCCTGAAATGCGCTAAAAGGTGAAAGGAATGAACTTTGCAGTCTGTTTCTCACAAATGAGGTCACCACCACTTACCTGCGCAAGGCATCTGCAAGGGCCACCAACCAGCATGTGAGAATGACAACACAGATGCGCAAGCAAATTCAACTGTGCCCGCCAACAGCCACTGACGTCACCCTACAGGAGGAAGGCCATGCCGTCTTGGAAAACTTTCAAAGCAGGAATTGAAATATGACACTGCACACGATCATGATCTACCTGTACACCAGGGACTGCAGGCATGGCACCTCCAACAGGCAGCCCTCCCATCACTCCCCCGAGGGCATCTTGGCTGCCAACATAGCGAAGCGTTTCCACCTGCCCTTCCGCCTCCATCTTGTCCTTCATCACAAGTTTGCTGTCCACACACACCAATTTGGCACAGTCCATCCTCTCCTCCACCTGACCACCTGAAGGACGCCCATTGGCTGCAACCTTGTGGCACAGGGAGTCAATCAAAAGTGTGAGTCGATGTGTTTTCGCCTGTGCTGGCACAGGCGCCACTATAAATGCAGAGCAAAATCCTTTCAAAACAGCACTGCTGCGTGTCCCAATCGTCATGAATTTGTCCAGTTTGCAGAATCAATCCTTGGGATACTGTTGTGAGGGTGCTTAATTCGAACACAGCATCCCACAAAATACATTAACAATCGCCAATTTTGCAATCAGCATCATCCTACAACGTTGCCATGCACAGAAACCAGCACAAAATGCCATCAGCAATTCCCAAAAGGATTCACTTTGATTCTGAGATGGGATGCAAAGCATGCTGCACTCGGGACGTACTGCTGAGGCTGCAAAGAGCCTCCAACATCACCAAGGTTGTGCTGGCACAGTGCCAACGATTTTGGCCAAAGCACTAAAGGAAGACAAGGCTATGTGCAATGGCAGACAGGCATGCAAGGGGGCATTCTGCAAGCCAACCAATCGAATTCATCATTTTGAAGCAATGCATGTGTTCGTTACATCAATATGGAATCATTGTACAGGCCATGCCATGTGTCATTGGAGTTCAGAGCGTCAGCGAGCAAAGTTTTCTTCTGGCAGAGCACAAAGGCCTCACACTCTTCAACATGTCCACTGGAAGGGAAGAATACGATCAGCATCCTCCTCGTGAGCAAGGAGTTTTGTGAGGCTCTTTCCGTTCTGTTGAAGATGGAAAAGGCGATGAAGATGTCTTTGAGTGTGTGGGTCAGGAACCGAACGAAGGGGTCATGCAAGTGGGCATGGGGCAAAGGGGAAATGATTGTGTCTGTAAGGTTGGAAAAGTCTTTAAGAAATCAAGGGCATGTCATGCAATAGGCACTCTGCTCAGCAACAATTCTTTGCACATTCAGGTCTCTGAGCACCACAAGATGAACATCCAAGACAAGGGTTTGCCCATTTCAAGATACGGCCTCCTCGCTGTCACACATAATCTTCCAAACACATAATTGCGGACCCCTGAACCACACACTCTGCACCCCGAGAATTGCATATCCCCATTGCTGCCATCCAATTGTCCGAAAGAAATGTTCTGCCCAATATACAACCTTCCCTCAAAATGCGATTACCGTCTTTGTCCAAGCTCAACGGCACTGAAATGGAAATCCCAACCCCCCGTGAGCCCGCCAACCGGCGCCAGCGAGCCAAAGGGCGCCCACAGCTGCACAATCCAAGCAGTGCCCCCACCCGCCCTTCGACAGGGCCGGACTTTGTTTGGAAACAGAAAGCACACATGTCCAACAACAGGCCCCTCCTCCCCCCTGTAGCCCAGAATTCTTGCGACCCTCTGTCCACATCGCACCAGGCGATGCAGAATGTCTAAGTGCCCAACGCGAACAGCACGCATCACGCAGCGGCACGGCTGCACTCGGCCACCGTTTTATTCCAGAATGGTAGCAATCGAATACCACAACAAATGGAGGACAGAGTTTGGCGCGTGTACACGCCCATCAGCCCCTGCAAATTCCAAGGATCTCGCATTCCTTGCGGAAACAAGCCAGAATTCAAGGCAAATTTCAAATCAAGCAAGTTTAGCGCCGGCACGGACGGCAAAAACAGGCGCCCATACTCGGCAGGGTCCCCACCCTCAGGTGCACGTCGTCCAGCACGAACTGCCACACGTTGTCGATGTACCGGTAGTTCTTCAGGCCCGCTTTGATGACCGCCCGTTTCTCTACCACGCGCTCCTCCAGCGCGTGGTACATCGACTTGTCGAATTCGGCGAGCACCTTCTCGGACAGCTCTTCGGACAGCTTGCCCGCCTCCACCAGGTCGAACAGGGCATGGTACAGGCTCTGGCCGATCTTGGTGCCGCGGTAGAGCTGGAAGCTGGAGGTCATGGCGAAGGGGATGGCCGGCGAGGGAGTGTGGCCAGCCCCGACAACGCCTCCCCGCACCCTTGCCGCATGGTTGTGGTAAAGGTGGTGGTGAAAAAATTGGGGGTTTGGGTCGTTCGCGTAGGGGGGTCGGGTTGCGCAGTTACGGCAGGTGTGACGCCCGCTGCGCGAATTGCGCGTGGGTTATGTGTATTGGGGCTTGGATGGGTTGAAACCTTGGTTTAATTTCTTTCGCGCGGGGGGTGTAGGGTAATGCAGTTACCGGTGTTGGGGCGCGGGTTGAGAGCAGGTGGGGGCAGCAGGTGGTTGCCAAGTGAGAGCGACTCGAAGAGTTGGAGCGGCTTGAGAAGGGCGTGAACGACTTCCGCAAGCGTTTGGACTTGGTTAGGAGCGGGGAGTTTTTCAGTGTCTTCAGCTTGGCACAATATTGTGTCCTGCGAAAAGTGGTGAAAGACGCCGCATTGAAAAATTGAATCCCAAGTAGGACATTGTTGTCCGAATTGGGATTTCGTCATTGTTATAATGCAACTTTGTTTTTCCCGAGACACGTCGCTTTTAACGCGGACGCAAGAATCGAATTCGGCCAAACAAACGATGAAACCCAAAGTTCTGCCGTACGTCTTTAGGCAATGCGTCACAGCACACGTGCACACAAGGGCGCCCGCAGCGCGCTCCAGTCGCAGGCAGCGCCATGAGGCTCCTGGCTTCCGCGGCCGTGGCGGTTCTTCTGGCCCTGGTCGCGGCGTACGTCCAGCTTTCGATATCCATATCGCGCCTGCAGCAGAAACCCCTTCCCAGAGTCCATTGTGAGCATCTCGCGCCGCGACCGGACCACCGGCTGGGCCGGCGCCCACCGGAAGGGGTGGGTGCGGTAGCCGTGTTGGGGAGCAGCTCAGAACTTTATCAGATTCGGAGCTCGGAGCTCAGAACTTACCGGAGATGCATTGCGCACTCCGGTCTGCCGCGCGGCGTGTTGGCGAGGATCCATCCGACGTGGATGGGTGGGGTGGGGTGAAAAGGTTGTTGCAAGACAGAATGAAGAGGCATGATACCGCTCTTCCTTCGCATTTGGCAAGACTTAGCGAGGATCCCCGAGGCAAACAAGGCAGATGCAGAAGAGCGAACAGCAAGTGTCAACGTAGCGTGCCCGTTGTCAAAGATCCGGGGCGGTGGAATTCGTTTTCGCGTCAGCATTGCGTCGATGGCCAATGCACGCTCGAAACGCCCGGCAGGCAGCTGCTCTCACCGTTTGCCCCTCTGGTACTTTCTGTTGCCACGCATCCTGGTGTCACTGCAAACAGCCAGTTCAACTGATGTCGTCTGATGGTCTGACCCCAGAAATGTGCCGAAACCAGTGCCGCAACCAGTGCCGCTTCTTCACGTTGTTGTATTGTTACATTCAGTAAGCCAGTCACTCTGGAAATTCTCGCACCTGAGCCGAGAATCTGGCGCAGCGTTCGCCGCTTGGGATCTTTGGGGAGTTGGCAGTGAGCCATGCGCTCCAGCCGAATGCAGGGCTGGCATGCGGGTAGATGTCATTTTGAATTCTATTGAGGTGTTGTATCAGCAATCTGGGATAATAAATTGGTAATCCATGGCGTTGCATTCATCTTCGCAACACAAAGTGAGGCCGAATTCCTAGCCTTAAAATGCCTTCGAAAGACAAAGCAAGTGACACAGGGGATTACAGGCATTTGTGCATCCGAAATGCAATTTGAGCTTTGTTTGTTCATGTCTCTGCTTGCCACCCATTTGAAGAGCACACGAGTGGTGCTCCAAAAAACCAATGATGGAAATTTCGAATACAATTCAATTTTCATTCACTGAATTTCAATGCACAATTTTGGCTTTGCTTGTGCTTGACACCTGAGACTATACTCCCAGTTTGGCGCCACTCCAGGAGGGGAGGGCCTTGTGTTGGGTTGGCTCTGTCGCGAATGCGCGCATCCATCCTTGTGAGCTGCCTGCCGTGGTTTTCAAGGTTAGCCAAATATCAGCAGGAAATGGCATAGTTGAGACAGGTGTTGCATCGCCTTCTAGTACAGAACACGATCTTGAATACTTTGCTTGGAGGGGGCTCCCACATTCTGCCCCCCTATCCCCTTGTGCAACACGATTCAATGCTCATTAGCTGGTTATCTGAAGATCCCATTTGGTATGGGCAGTTTGAGACACTTGATGGAGAGCCAGCCCCTTAGGTGTGTTGTGAACCACCAGAACATGGACAGTTGTTCTCAGATGGCAGATCGCTATCAAGCTGCAAAAGCAAGACATTTTCTGCTCTCTGCGATGTTGCATCAGTACATTGCGAACAGTGAATATGATGCTTGATGCGATCAATCCATCTTCCATCTCCTCTGTCCACCTGGTCTCACAGTTCGGGCCCACAATTCTCATTCAGGCGATCAAGAGGCTGGAGGCGAAGAAGCAGTGGCCAGATTCGCCAAGCTGCTGACCTACAACACGATCAGCAGCATAGATGCTCTCCATCATGTCAATCAGCCTGCCGAATTCGAGGCTGTCCACAAACACCTCAGGGAGTCCTATCCATTCGTCTGGACACATGCAAAAGCCGAGCAGGTGGGCTGCCGTTGTTGGTAAACAGAGCAATGAATCTTAGCTTGCTTTGTTCAATGTATGACACGTTAGTTTTGACACTCACATCACTCGATCAGATGGAGAAAACGGGCACATGCACTTGACCTGAGGATGCACTGAAGTATGCCTGCGATGCCAAAGGACATGAGTGCAGTGATGTGCAATGCTTCTGTCAACACAACCTGTGGCTGCTTGCACAGGTGTGCGAATACAGCCTGTTGGTCACCTGGCAGGGTGCCAACGAGAGCGCACTGCCGGTACTGTTCGTGAGCCACGTGGACGTCGTCCCAATTGGGGGCAACGAAGACAAATGGACGCACCCGCCCTTTGGCGGGGTTGTTGCTGATGGGTGCGTGCAGACAAAAGGCCTGCCACCAACATCCACGAATTGCAAGCAACTCCTGTATGCAGGCATTTCTTTTCTTTCCTGAGCTCTGTTGACAGTAGTTGTTGCAAAACGGCAGAACAGGAACTTGCAACTTGCAGGGGATGGCAGGTGCAAGTTGTACCATGCAAGGATCTGTTCCCTGGAGGTGCCCTTTTTGTGTTCTCGTTCGCATTCTTTACGTTTCTTCATCTCTTATCCTTATAGCCATGCTGGCCACTGCAAAGTACTATGTGCATCTGTGGTGCAGGGGGCAGTGCCACTGTGACAACAGACCCAAGGTGTGGATCTTCCACCATACCCCAATATCTCCAACTGATAATTTAAAAATTCCAAATTAATGCGGAGCACATTGCATGTGATTCTTCCTGGCAGTATTGCTTGCTACACAATCGTGAAAACAAGTTGTTGTCAACTACATGCAAGCTGCTGTGATTGGTGTTGTTGTGTTACTCCTTGCAGGTGCATTTGGGGCCGTGGTGCAGTCGATGTGAAGATCAGCGTTGCTGCCATTCTGGAGTCCTGGAACCAGCTCATGAAAGATGGGTGAGCCCCGCCCCCCTCCCCCATTTGCCTTGGATATCTTCACATTGAGGACAGGGATGCACTGTGGCCAATACTGCTGGCCCTGGTGGTGCTTCCCTATTCTGCAGGCAGTGGCATGCCTGTTGCATGTGTATTGCTGCCTGAATACTGCAGATGCCTACCACATGTAAACTATGTGTGTGCCACATGTTTACTGCTTGCTTGCCACATGGCCGCTCTGTGTGTTAGACGTGTACCACAAGTCTGCCATAGGCCTGTTTGCTGCATGGCAGCTCTAATTTTCCGCATGCCTACCGCATACAAGATACATGTCTGCTTTGTCTGCTTCTCATGTGCTTTATGTCTGCCCCGTGGCTGTTGTCTACAGGGCTGCTAAAAGTATGCTGCATGGCATAGGCGATTGCTGCAAGCGTCCAGCATATTTGCTGAATGTTTGCTGCAAGTTTGTAGCATATCCAGTAAATGTCTGCTGCAGGTCTACGCATAAAGAAACCTCTTCGCCTTCACTCACAGTCCTCTTCCCCACTGCAACCTGATCTTGACAACATCACTGTCCTAGTAAACAGCACAATGATTCCTTCATCCTAATTAGGGGCGTCTGTTACACAGGCACACCCCCGAAAGGACCATGATTCTGGCTGTTGGTCACGACGAGGAAACTTCTGGCCGCTTGGGCGCTGGCTGCATGGCTGGCATCCTGAAAGATCGAGGTGTCACTCTGGAGGCGATTTTTGATGAAGGGGGTTGTGTGGCATCGAGTGGCATCTCATTCATTAAAAGCCCAGTGGCATTGATTGCCACCGCTGAAAAGGTTGGCCCTCGCCCTATTGGGTTACATTTGATTTCATGGTTGTGCTGATGAAGCGCAGTGGCTACATTGCACATCTGTGCTCAGCTGTACATTGGAACACGACTAGCCACTGTCCTGTCATCTGTTGCCTGAGCGTTGAAATGCAGCTGAATGGGATGAATTTCTAACTGCACTGATGCCAATCTTCGTGCTATGGATCGACTTGAATTGAACTCGCAGCCTGGTTCAGGTTCGCTTGTGGCATTGATAGTGTGCTATGCCGCTTCATTTCAGATTGAAAGATGTGAAATTGAATTGATTTTCGACAAGCAGGACACGACATGCATAACATCGCAAAGTAGCGTGAAAATGTCTCATTGATAATGACTTTGGAATGTGTTCGATGCGGACTTGCGCTGACTATCCAGGGCTACACCGACGTGCTCGTGGGCGTCCACTCTCCGGGGGGCCACTCCAGCATGCCGCCAACTGACGGCTCAACCTCTGCAGCAATCCTCTCCCGAGTCATCAACCATGCAGAGAACCACAGGCCCGCTGTGGCGTTGTTGCCGCCAGCGACCGACTTTGTGCAGTTCATGGCGCCCTACGCGCCGCTGGCAATCCGCCCCCTTCTCAAATTCTGCGACAAGTGGTGAGGAAGGACTTCCCACATTATATATAGAGTGGTGTGGTTCGAATGGTGGCTTGTTCACCCGGGATGTGGATGGCTAGCCACGTTATGCGTATGAAACGACGTACATTACGTTTGATATGTCAGGAATGAATGAAATGCGCATAGGCATGCCGCATGTGTGGGTCAGACATCGGCAGACAGGGGCAAGGACGGTGGTTTGTCTCCCAGTCGATCAGTGGCTGGGAGTGCTGCCGCAGCCAAAGTCCAGTCCAGGTCTGGATCGGTCCAAAACAGGAGTGGAACAAGGCCTTTCGCATGGAACGGCTGCTCAAGCTGGGCAGTCAATTTAAATCTGAATTGCACCATCTGATGGCGTCAGCGTCGGGTTAGCAATTGACCGCCGTAGTGCTTACGGAGCTCTTCATAATCGTGTCTCTCGTCACTGGCGTCAACGCGGTCATGGATGGTATTGTGACAAACAGCATGGTGCAGATATACGCGATGCTGATTGCCCACGTTTTGGATGGCATTGTTACGTTTGCGTCTTACGTATGCTTACGTGCAAGTAGTCAGACGCCCATAATCACGTGTGCTTTTTTGCGCAGCTTTGAGGTTGACCAACTCGACAAGGTTGCACATTACTGATGACAATTCTTGAGCTCGCGGCTCCTCCGGCGCGCCCAGCCCTGCCTTTTGCCCATAGTCTCAAAGCGCGACCAGCGCGAATCAATAACTGTTGTTGTTTCGCTGGGCAGGCCGCTCAACTGGCTGGTGGCCCGCGTCCTGTATCGCCTCTCCCCAGAAACTGCCGCCATGGTGTCGACGACAGTCGCCACGACCAACGTGCGGGCGGGGGTGTCTGGAAACGTACTGCCTCTGGACGCGTCGGCGGTCTTCAACATTCGGACACTGCCAGGTGAGGGTCGGTTTCTGGCCGCCGTACATCGAGCTCTACTCGCCGCCAAACACTTGGACTTTGTACTGTGAGCTGCGGTTTGATTTCTGTCATGTTTGGCCTTGTTGTGGTTTTTGCTCGGATTGACTGTTCCGACAGGGGGGTGGCACTTGCTACTCTGTGAAACGAACTGTTGCTGTTTGCATGCGGTTTGAATTCATGTCGATTTTATTTCCATTCTTCTCAGAAGGTCGTGTTTTCATTCATTTTAATTCGGGTACTGTTCATCTCAGAGTGTTGTACCAATTGGAGGCATGGTTAATCATATCAGGAACAGCAAACTGACCTTTTATGTACTTCACAACAAACGAATTGAGAGCACCGCAGACGAGCACACAAATTCTGTTAATATTTTCCCAGGTACGGTCCTGCAGGAACTGGTCGACTACTTCTATGACGTCGGGCAGAGGGTCGCCGGCTCAGCTGCCGGAAAAATCTCCGTTAAGCTGAGGCCACCAGAGAGCGGAGAAATCGGGAACGACCCCTCGAACGTGACGTCATCTTCTGGAAGCGCGTTCGCCACGCTGATGCGGGCGGTGCAAGAGGCGATGGTGGTCGAAGGCGAGGTGCGAAATAACACTCCTCTAGGATCATGAACGCGGATTGAAACTGCGCATGGCGGCAAATTTCATGAGAATGAAAAAACAACTTTCTCAAAGCAGCAGCTTCGCTCAATGCAGGCTTGTTGTTTACGGCCTGTATCAAAAGTCGATGTATGGATTGGAATCTAATGTCATCGGTAGAATTTTTATATGCCATTGACGAAGGCAGGCAGGGTCAAGGGGTGGCGATCCCTGAATGGGGATTGTACGCTCGAGTCCACGGCAACGGTTTACAGCCAAGGCAAAAGGACAACAGACGTTCTGTCCTTTATACTCTGTCCGTTCATCAACATCCTTAATGCAATTCTTAGTGCTTCGTCATCTTTTCATGCATTCAGTCGTTAATAACACTGAATCAGTTCTAGCCGTAACACCATCAACAGCAAATTGAAAATGCTGCCCCAGTTTCCAATTTTCCAGTTGATTACCTCCCGAGCTTGACAAGCTCTCACGATGTGTGCAGGCCCCCGTGGTGGCTCCCTACCTTGTCATGGGGGGCACGGACTCCAAGCACTACGCGGCCCTCAGCGTCGGCGGGACCCTCCGGTTCGTTCCCATGGCCCTGGACATCCGGGCTGGCGAGCTGGCCAGGGTGCACGGCATCGACGAGCGCATAGAGGTGCCTGCGTACAAGCAGGCCGTCTGTGCCTACAAGCAGATCACCAAGCGATTTGGAGCTGCGCAATGGGCGGCCTGAAAGCGCAGTTCGGCGATCGATTTGGCGGGAGTACGCGTTGAGATGATTCCAATGTGGTGTCTGATTGGACGCATGGATGTTTTGGCATGGCGCCAGTGAGGATTGGATGCGAGATGGAGTGGCCCAGGACCGCTCAGTGTAGGAGGTCGATGCATCAGGCGGTCGAACAGTGGAACGCGCAGAGAAATCGTTTGGGGCTCGCATGCAAGGGTGTTGCTATGCAGTGTTAATTCTGAAGTCCCTAATCAGTGTCTTATTAGTGTCTCATAGAGTATCTGATCAGTGTTATGGTCCCTATTAGCAACCAGAACAGTCGCGGGAATGTCCGCTGAGCGCAGTGCCCAGTGCTTGCTGCCCAAGAACGATGCTCCAAAAGATCTGCCCTTCTGGAAAGACGTTGCTCTAAAGTACGGAGTACGTTGTCGATGCACCGGTAGTTCTTCGGGCCCGCCTTGATGACCGCCCGCTTCTCCACCACGCGCTCCTCCAGCGCGTGGTACATCGACTTGTCGAATTCGGCGAGCACCTTCTCGGACAGCTCTTCGGACAGCTTGCCCGCCTCCACCAGGTCGAACAGGGCATGGTACAGGCTCTGGCCGATCATGGTACCGCGGTAGAGCTGGAAGCTGGAGGTCATGCCGAAGGGGATGACCGGCGAGGGAGTGTGCCTAGGCCCTGCAACGCCTCGCCGCGCCCTTGGCGCATGGGTTTGTGTTTTGGGGTGGGGTGGTCAAAAAAACTGGGGGTTCGGGTTACGCAGTTACGGCAGGTGTGACGCCCGCTGCGCCCATGGCGCGTGGGTTACGGGTTGGATATGGGTGTTGTGTTTTGTGGTTGGGGTGGGTCAAAAGTGGGTTGGGGTCTTTCGCGCAGCAGGACTGGTTACGCAGTTACGACAGGTGTGACAGCCACCGACCCGCCCCGCTGTGCCCTTGGCCCTCGGGTTTTGTGTTTTGTGTTTGGGGTAGGTCAAAAATTGGGTTGGGGTCTCTCGCACAAGGGCTGTTGGGTTACGCAGTTACGGGTTTGGGAGCGTGTATTGGGGCCTGTGGGGAAACGGGTGGCCCCCAAGTGAGAATGGGTCGACGAGATGGACGGTTTGAGAAGGGTATGGCGACTTGAAGGACTTGACCAAGATTTTGAACTTCGTTCGGAACAGGGAGTTGCTTGAGTGGTTTGGGGCGGGGACAATATTGTGTCCAGCGAAAAACGCTGAAAGACGCCTATAACTATGAATCCCTATTCGCAAATTATTGTGCGAATTGGGATTCATCCTCCTCGTTATTCCCAAGACACGTTGATATGGTAGTGACTGGTCCATCATTGACAGATGGTTGTACGACTATAAAGGGACGTGCCTGTCCGCGACCTATCTGTGACTCTGTACCCTCAGCCGTGTCTCCAGCCCGTGGCCCTCCGACATAGTCCCACCCCGAGCCTATAGCGTATATGTATAATATATCGTGTACGTATAATATAGCGAATATGTATAATAGCGCATCAACGTCACTTTCAATGCGGACGCAAGAATCCAATTCAGCCAAGACGATCAACGATAAAACATGAGCCACTCACCGCAAGTGCACACAAGGGCGCCTTGTGCCCGCTCCAATCCCAGTCGTCGCCATGAGGCTCCTGGCTTCTGCGGCCATGGCAGTTTTTCTGGCCCTGGTCGCGGCGTACATACAGCTTTCGGTATCCGTATCGCGCCTGCAGCAGCGACCCCTCACCAGAGTCCACTGTGAGCACCTCACGCCGCGACTTGACAACAGCGGCCCCACCCGAAGGGGTGCATGTATAGGGCTATGTGTTGGGGAGCCGCTCAGAATCTTAGCAGATCAGAATTCGGAGTTCAGGACTGGGCGAAGATAGAGTTAGCAGTCCGGTTGCCGTGCGGCGTGTTGGCATGGATCCATCCGAAGTGGATTTGTGGGTCGTGGGAACGATGGTTGCAAGACGGAATGACGAGGCATGATCCCGCTTTTCCTTCACCTTTGGGAAGATTTAGCGGGCGCCCAGAGACAGAGCACGGCGGATACAAAAGAGAGAACAGCAAGTGTCAACGTCGCGTGTCCATTGTCCAAGTTCCGGGGGCGGAGCGTCGCGTCAGTGGTGGCGTCAATGGCCAATAGACGCTCGGAGCGCCCGGCAGGCACGTGCCCTCGCCTGACGCTTCTCTGGCGCTTTCTTTTGCCGTGCGTCTCTGGGACATTCTGGTGATCTGGTCGCAGCAAAGGAATGTGCCAGGGCAAGTGTGCGCTTACTCACATTGATGTACTGGTACATTCAGTCACCATTAATTCTAGAACCTCTCGCCTTTGAGCTGGGGGTTCCCGCGAGGCGCTCGTCGCTTGGGATCTTTGCGAACCTCTCAATGAGCCATAGGCCTCAGCCAACGCAGGGCTGGCATCAGATCGAATCTAATTTTGAATTTTAGCTGAGGGCTTGTATACGCAGCCTGGGAGGATTCGTCAGTATATTCATGGCATTGCATTGATCTTCGCAACACAAAGTGAGACTGAAATGCTTTGTTGCAAATTGCCTTCAAAGACGAAGCAAGTGGGGCAGGCGTTTGTGGGCATTATCTGTCCTCCATTTGTACATGCCTCTGCTTGCCACCCATCTGCAGAGCACGCGAGCGGTGCTGAAAACAACAAATGGCCAATGTACACGTTGCCTTGTCGGTGGTTGCTGACTCAAGCATAATGCTAGTGGCGACTATTGTCCCAGTATGACGACACACCAGGATACGCAGATCTTGTGCTGGATTGGCTCTGTCAACGACGCACCCATCCACCCATGTGGGCTGCTGGCTGCGATTTTCTACATTACCAATATGTCAGCAAGAAATGTCGTAGCCAACACAGGCGTTGCATCCTGTTTTAGTGCATAATATATGGTGGCATATATATGGCCTTGAACTCTTCTGCTGAGTAGGTACTGCCAACTTCCGAGCCTTGGTCGCCTTCCATGTCACTCGGTGCCAGATAGCTGAGCGCCCAGGTTTGGAGATTCATCGCAGCACTGAAATTTCAAAAGCCTTGGGTGCATGTGGTATTGCTAGGGAGCATGACAACTGACACTTGTATGGTGCCTGTACCAGTGAATGTGCGATCGCTGATCTTGACGCACCATGCGATCAATCTTCATCACTGTCATGCAGCTGACCTCACAGTCCTGGCCCACAATCTTGATTCAGGTGATCAGGAAGCTGGAGGCGAGGGTGCGGTGGCCAGATTCGCCAAGCTCCTGAGATGCAGCACAATCAGCAACAAAGATGCTCCCCGTCATATCAATCAACCTGCTGAATTCGAGGCTTTCCACAAACACATCAGGGAGTCCTATCCGCTCGTCTGGAAAAATGCAAAAGCTGAGCAGGTTGTGTATCCTGGATTGCTTCACTGAATGTATGACAGATTAGCTTTGGCACTCACCGGCGCAATCACTGAAAGGGAAAAAGGGGCGTATGTGTTTGACCGGGAGATGCACTGAAGTATGCCTGCGATGCCAAAGGACACGATGGCTTCTGTATACAGGGCCCATGGTCGTTTGCACAGGTGTGCGAATACAGCCTACTGGTCACCTGGCAGGGCGCAAAACGAGAGCGCACTGCCGGTACTGCTCGTGAGCCACATGGGCGTCATCCCAATTGGTGGCAGTGAAGACAAATGGACGCACACCCACTTTGGCGGGGTTGTTGCTGATGGGTGCGCGCAGCCAAAAGGCATGACTTTGAAATCCTTAAATGGCAAACAACTCCTGCATGCAGGCCTTTCTTTCCTTTATCGAGTTCTGTTGATGGTATCTGTCACAGAAGGGCGGAACATGAACATTGTGTCTTGCAGGCAATGATGGGTGCAAGCCACCACACAAGGATCTGTTCTATTGCAGTGCACGTTGTACTGAAGTGTAGTACACTCAGCGAGGTACTATGCACATCTGATACAGGGTGTCACTGCGACAATTGACGGAAGGTGCAGATCTTCCACCATACCCCAGCATCGCGCAATGGCAAGTTCACAATTCCAAATTTATGCAGGGCACATTGTGTGTTATTCTTCCTGGCAATATTGCTTGCCACAAGATCATGAAACAAGTTATTGTCAGCCAAATGCACACTGCTGTTATTGGTGCTGTTGTGTTGCTCCTTGCAGGTGCATTTGGGGCCGCGGTGCTGTCGAAGCGAAAATCAGCGTTGCTGCTATTCTGGAATCCTGGAACCGGCTTATCAAGGATTGGTGAGGCAACCTCTTTCATTTGCCTTTGACAGCTTCACTGAGGATAGGGATGCACTATGGCTAATACTTCTTGCCCTGGTGGTTCTTCCCAATCTGCAGGTGGCGGTATGCCTCTTGCATGTGTACTGCTGCCTGTGTACGGCAGATTACCACCACGTGTAAACTACTTGTGTGCAACATGTCTATTGCGTGTCTGTCACACTCCTGTTTGCTACATGGCTTCTGGTATTTGCTGCATATCTACTGCATGCAGAATACATGTGTGCTCTTTCTGTTGCGCATGTGCTTCATGTCTGCGGCATGGCTGTCTGCTGCATTGCTGCTGCCTGTTGCAACATGCCAACTACAATTGCTGCACGCAGACCAGATGGCTGCTGCAAGTTTGCAACGTATCTGCACCATGGCTGCCGTAGACCAGTGTACACGGAATTCTCCTTGCCTTGCTCACAGTCCTTGTCCCCAAATGCAACCTGATCCTGACAACAGCATTGCCCCCTAAAAGCCCACTACAATGATTCCTTAATCCTATTTAGAGGCATCTCTTACATAGGCACACACCAGAAAGGAACCAGATTCTTGCCGTCGGTCATGATGAGGAAGTCTCTGGCCGCTTAGGCGCTCGTTGCATGGCAGGCATCCTTAAAGAGCGAGGTGTCACTCTGGAGGCGATTTTTGATGAGGGGGGTTGTGTGGCATCGAGTGGCATCTCATTCATTCACAGCCCAGTGGCATTGATTGCCACAGCCGAGAAGGTTGGAATGT